TTACCAAAAATTATTTGACTATTTTTGTTGTGTACCCAAGAGTAGGCAATGGAACATTTGTTAATGCAGTTCTGAGTAACAATTGGTTAAATACTTAGTAGTAGATTTCTTTAAGTTTTAGTAGTATTAATTATCCAAAATACTACTACTACTACTACTACTACTACTTGCAGATTGCCTACCCACGCAGAATATGACAACAAAAATAAAATATAAATATAAAATACTATAATATATATATATTAGGATATTTATATTTATCTAAAATGTTATCTGAAACATACAATTTCTCGATTGCACTTGGGAATTGCACACTTGTGTTCGATTTACAAGAAAAATGCGTGTCTGGAAATATTCGACACGGTGAGGTTAGATGACACTTCCCTAAGCCAGACTCGACCTTTCTACCATCGATTAATACGTTATTGTATTTTTTTTCATCTTGTGTGCTAAATTTAAAAATAAATAATAAGCACAATGTTGGCGCTACAAAACAATGAGAAGAATTTTTTGTCGCGGAAATATACAAGCTCAGTTTCTCACTCTCTGAAATAAACAAGCAGAATCGGAATGGAGTGAAAAATATTTTTGATTTAACAAGTTTGCTATGCTCGAATAATTTAATTGAATAAGTTATAATAGTTAATTACTGAGCGGCCAACCTGGCGACGAAGAAGTTGTATATATTTTTTTTGTGTTGCGTATAAAGTGCAAAAGTGAAAAGTTGCCGATTCAACATTAAGTGAAAAAAAGCAGAGTGATTTTTGTTGGCAAATCAATATTTTACAACTTTAATTCATCTAAAACAATGCGTTAGAAAAATAAGCCTTTAAGCATATTTATAAATACCACTCGTATGGACACCGCCGAAAGTACTTTCGTCGCTGGATCTGCTAAATGGTAAGCTGGAGCCCCCATTATAATTTACAATTGTTCTGTTTACTTGGTATTACTTAGCAGGTTCACGAGCCAAAATAAGTTTTTTTTTCTAACAGCCAAATGAACATGCGTACGAAAATTTGAAACAGTTGTTGTTTTATCGTCTTGTTGTTTCAAGGCGTGAACCGAGCTTATGAGAACCCTGAGTAAACAACGGTAAAAAAAAATTGATAACAGCTTGGCGAGTATTTGATCAGTCGCATGCAATATATATCAGCTGTGCTCCGTAAAGTAGTGGCGCTAAATATTATTCACACCTCCGGTAATTTTATTAAGCATCTAAAATGGCCTTTAGTCCCATAATATAATCTGCACGGCTTAATCCTACTTTTGCTATAACGATACATATTTTCGTCTTTTGCATATTTTCATATATAAAATATACATATTAACCCTTAATGTTTTCAGCAACTTTTCGCTTCGGTATAGTAATAAATTGAATAAACTAGTTTTTGTCTAGAGTAAGTAAAAGATATGTAATAGCCTCGGTCCACTGGCTTAAGAAATGTCACATTTTCCAATTTCTCATATTGGCGTTACACCGGTTGGCGCTAACATGGGAGTGTCGTAAGTACCGCAAGCTGATCGGGTTTCTTAAATTAACATAAATAAGGTTTTTCTTCCAAAACTAAAAAATATCTTATGGAGCACTAGCAACGATTCGGTTAAGGACGATCGAAATAATCAGGCTCTTCTTCTCTCCTCCGTCCTCTCAGCTATATAAGAAGCTGCTAAAAGTGAAGTGAAGATGAGATGCCCTTAGATTGGGGTTTTGGTTGTCCGTCCCACGTGAGTGTGTTCACCGGTTCACCGGGGATTGCGATATGGCCCCTCCGTGCCCAATTGTTCTCATATAATTATATGGCGTATTTTTCGGCTTGTTTTTCTCGGCTTTATATGTAACCACGACCGATATGTAACCATGGGGAGGTAATATTAGAAAAAGGCCTTCTGATAATATCCGCGCGCTTTTATGGGCTTCCGAACAAAAAGCTCATGCTCCCGGATGACGAGTGGAGACAACGAAGTTGGGGGTGATCTTATAAAGCTCACATGTGGAAAAGCTTGACTTTCTTCAAGCACATTAACAAAAGCTTTAGTTGGTACATTACAAATGCAAGATTTTGTCTGTTACAACACAGGCGACATTTTTGTCGTAAACGATATGTAGTGGAACTGTGTTTACTTTCTTGGTTGGTCTCGTCGACCATTACAAGGTATTACAATTGGTCCAATTCGGTGACATCAGTTAAAGAATACATTAACCAGTGCGACATCTGCAAAACTACTAAAAGGCCAAATAATGTACTCAGACTCAGACTCTATGTTGACTTTCTCGGTCCGTATTCCAGATCCAAGGTTCGTAATGTAGGAATTTTTATTGTACTCGAACACTACGAAATTTCCCTTTCTGAAAGCCGTAAAAAAATTTTCTGCAGACGCCATTATACAATTTTTGGAAGAGGACCTGTTTCATTATTTCGGCGTTCCCGAAACTGTAGTCTCTGATAATGGAGTACAGTTCAAGTCGCATGTCTTTAATAATTCAATGCAAAAGTATAGAATAAACCAGCCTATACAGCGGTCTACGCACCACAGGCCAATGCCTCCGATCGAGTTATTAGCTCTGTGATTTCTGCCATAAAGGCTATATTTATCCCAATCAATCGAACTGGGACGAAAATTTGAGTAAAATTTGCTGCTCCTTACGCTCAAGCTTATATACATCAGTAAATAATACCCCGTATAGACTTGTCTTTGGTCAACATATGATAACAAATGGTTCTCCTTATCGGCTTTTACGTGACCTAAACTTACTCGAGGATCGTACCGTGTCATTTAACAGAGACGATTCTTTCGATTTAATGAAAAACAAAGCGGTCAACTTGATGCACAATCAATATTCATGAAACAAAAGGCTTTACAATTTAAGAACCCGATAAGTTTCCTATGTCGTTGGACAGGAAGTCTTTCGTAGAAACTTTCAACAAGGTAATTTTGCCAAGGGGTTTAAGGCGAAGCTTGCCCCGACATTCGTAAAAGCAAGAATTCGTCTTAAGCTAGGAAATAGTTATTATGAGATTGAAGATATGCAGGGTAATCTAATTGGAAAATATCATGCAAAAGATATTGAACAATAACTTCTCTTTCAGTCCTTTTCACAAGCGCTTATCCCCCTTGTGGCGCTTATTACCAAAAATTATTTGACTATTTTTGTTGTGTACCCAAGAGTAGGCAATGGAATTTTTGTTAATGCAGTTCTGAGTAACAATTGGTTAAATACTTAGTAGTAGATTTCTTTAAGTTTTAGTAGTATTAATTATCCAAAATACTACTACTACTACTACTACTACTACTTGCAGATTGCCTACCCACGCAGAATATGACAACAAAAATAAAATATAAATATAAAATACTATAATATATATATATATATATTAGGATATTTATATTTATCTAAAATGTTATCTGAAACATACAATTTCTCGATTGCACTTGGGAATTGCACACTTGTGTTCGATTTACAAGAAAAATGCGTGTCTGGAAATATTCGACACGGTGAGGTTAGATGACACTTCCTTAAACCAGACTCGACCTTTCTACCATCGATTAATACGTTATTGTATTTTTTTTCATCTTGTGTGCTAAATTTAAAAATAAATAATAAGCACAGTGTTGGCGCTACAAAACAATGAGAAGAATTTTTTGTCGCGGAAATATACAAGCTCAATTTCTCACTCTCTGAAATAAACAAGCAGAATCGGAATGGAGTGAAAAATATTTTTGATTTAACAAGTTTGCTATGCTCGAATAATTTAATTGAATAAGTTATAATAGTTAATTACTGAACGGCCAACCTGGCGACGAAGAAGTTGTATATATTTTTTTGTGTTGCGTATAAAGTGCTAAAGTGAAAAGTTGCCGATTTAACATTAAGTGAAAAAAATCAGAGTGATTTTTATTGGCAAATCAATATTTTACAACTTTAATTCATCTAAAACAATGCGTTAGAAAAATAAGCCTTTAAGCATATTTATAAATATCACTCGTATGGACACCGCCGAAAGTACTTTCGTCGCTGGATCTGCTAAATGGTAAGCTGGAGCACCTCATTATAATTTACAATTGTTCTGTTTACTTGGTATTACTAAGCAGGTTCACGAGCCAAAATAAGTTTTTTTTTCTAACAGCCAAATGAACATGCGTACGAAAATTTGAAACAGTTGTTGTTTTATCGTCTTGTTGTTTCAAGGCGTGAACCGAGCTTATGAGAACCCTGAGTAAACAACGGTAAAAAAAAATTGATAACAGCTTGGCGAGTATTTGATCAGTCGCATGCAATATATATCAGCTGTGCACCGTAAAGTAGTGGCGCTAAATATTATTCACACCTCCGGTAATTTTATTAAGAATCTAAAATGGCCTTTAGTCGCATAATATAATCTGCACGGCTTAATCCTACTTTTGCTATAACGATACATATTTTCGTCTTTTGCATATTTGCATATATAAAATATACATATTAACCCTTAATGTTTTCAGCAACTTTTCGCTTCGGTATAGTAATAAATTGAATAAACTAGTTTTTGTCTAGAGTAAGTAAAAGATATGTAATAGCCTCGGTCCACTGGCTTAAGAAATGTCACATTTTCCAATTTCTCATAATGGCGTTACACCGGTTGGCGCTAACATGGGAGTGTCGTAAGTACCGCAAGCTGATCGGGTTTCTCAAATTTACATAAATAAGGTTTTTCTTCCAAAACTAAAAAATTGCGCTCTCGAAGTAAGGTCTCCATTTTAGGGACTCTTTTCGAGATTTTGCCATGTTTAAATTCTTAAAACTGTGGATTATTATTAATATTAAATTTTCTATTTAAAGTTGCCGCTTGCCTTCGTTGACATATCAGCTGTTTATGTTTACGATACTTTACGATACTTTACCATGTTTACGATACTTATCACAACATCGATAGAAATCTCGATTAATCATTGCAAAAAACATGATATGTTCAGGTCCCTTTTTGAAATATGTGTGATATATGTTTTCATATGAGGAAACGCACAGGGCGCATTTCACACATTTCGCAAAAATGTAACATTTTCAGAAATGTGTAAGAAATGTGTTCAGTGGACACAGGCTATTACCGTGAATTATGGCTGCTTTCCTGAACGTAGTATTTTTTTTCCAAATCCTTTTGGTTTTTATTAAGATTATTTATTCTTGTCTCTTTTATGTTCTGGGTATTATAATTAGGTGTTCCTTGTTGCATTTGATGTTATCGGCAGCACTTAGTTGGTTGCGTGCGATATTATCGGCCACGCCAATATTGTTTTGTCATATGGTCAGAGTATGCGGGGTGAAGCTGGGCCCACGGCGAAGCCCTTGGATATGCCCTTGGCCGTCATTTGGGCCGTTGACCCAAAAAAATGCAACTGTGTAGATGGGCAGCAACGGTGCCCGCCTCGCCAATGTATGCGTGTGCCGAAATTTGGCACCGATGATGTTGCTGCCTAAATGTACGAGGAGTTTGATTTGATCAGCTGTTAACGGCGGGCGTGCCAACTCGAAGTGAGCATAAAATTGGCATATTGCATATCGACGTCATAATAAATAACCTAACAGAAAAATGCAAATTTTGGTTTTGTTTGTTCTGCAATTTAATAAATATACGTAAATTAAACCGCTCGAGTCACAAAATATAAAAAAAAGAAAAACTTAAAACTTAAGTGCGACGAGACGAACCAATAAACAAATAAAAATTAACGGCTCCGGCAACAAAAAGACCAGCTCCCGCACCAGAGAAGCCCACGAAACATACCAACGGCCTGGATTCGGCTCAGCGGCGCACACCAGCCATATCCGCGACGCCGGACGCAGCCAAGCGTCGGCGCAATCCTGAATGCGACGAGACGAGCCTCCAACGACCGGGCATCAGCAACGAAGAAGCGGCCACAGGCGAGACCACGCCCACATTCTCCGAGTGAGTCCGTTCCATTGTACCCATCCTAGTTCGAGCCCTTGGCAGAGAAATGATGGAGACTCCTGATCGTACTCCCTGAAAAGGAGCTGATTTTTTTTTGTCATTAAAATTATTTTTTTTTTTTTGTATTTATAAATTATATCCATACATACATAAGCACTTACGCCGAGCTTCACTTTAGAGTGCGAACGGTGAGGGAAACTCCAAAGGTGATGCATGTGCACCTGTAAAATATAAAAATTTAAAATTGACACTTGCGCGAACTGTGCTCACATACTTACCTAATTGGAATTACCCATTTATATCGCCCCTTACCACCCCCAGAGAGCTCTTTAGATAGGGTAAGGTAGAATTCAGCGATTTAATACAGATCTATATCACCTATGTGTTGCACGACTGATTATCGTGACATACCCAGTTTTAAGAAGTTAAGTAGGCACATTGTTCCTAAATCGGTGTAACGATTGCCTGTAAATCGTCTCCGTGCTTGTTTCTTTTGCGGCGACTAGCAATATCTTTGTAGTATTTCGTCGACTGTTTTATTTAGTACTGTTAAAATAAAAAATGAATTCTAGAAGATAAGAGAAATATTTAGGAATTAATACACTTTGTCCATAAGTATAAATATATGCAACATTAATACGCACCGGGGAAGAAATGTTCACGTGCATGAATACTAATTCATCTGAACGGAGACATCGTGCAAATAAGAAAGAAGTAAAAGAAATATTAATGCCAATAATTATAAGAATACACAAACCATTATACGCACCTTTGAAGTTAACGAAATATCCACTTGCATGAGATTCTAAATAGCTGCAAAGATAAATGCCATAAGCGATGATTATAATTGTTATAAATTTTAAGAAAACGTAACCAATTATACGCACATATTGAAAGAAAGTATGTCCGGCTAAAGTAATATTGTTGGGGAGAGTGGGCATGATGGTCGACACGGGCTAATGTAGGCCATTTAGTGGCCAAAAAGTGGGAGACGAGTAGGTGATCGTCTCGTGGTTGGGCGGGTACGCTGGGTCCGGAACCGGGGACCGATTTGGAAGAATAAGGTGGATAAATAGTGTTTTTTGTTGATTTATATTGAGTGTCTCACCTTTGTTGCTTACATGTTCATAGTTGTTACAGCTGTTTATTTTGTTCATGAGTTAGAAGTTTCGGTTGCTTGACGTTATCGATTTGTGGTTCGCTTTGCATAGTGTTATGTAAGTCTGTTTTGCTACAGACGTGTAGCTTCGTTGTTAACGATTGTGCGGACTGCGCGCCAGTGATGCGACTACACCCAGAGAAACCGATGAGCCAGCCGGCGCGGCCCACCGAGAAACCAGCAGCTCCGTAACAATATGGCGCCCAATTTGAAGAAGCACTCGGCTTCTGTGAAGTCGGTGCGTAATCAAAGAAAAATAAATTAGATATAAATGAAGGTACAGAGAAAAGAATTCCTTTGGCTTCAGGACCCACCCCGCTGAAGTCTTATGTGGCACGAGTAGGTAGCTCATAATCGCACAGCGTGTTGTGCAATCTTGCTTCTCGGATTACGGAAGTAGAGAATATCCATAAATATGACAAGTTTTCTTGTAGTGGTTGTTGACGGTAAGTCACGTTCGCATGTTGGCGAAACGTTCGCGAACGTTTATCGTAGCCTGGTGGTAGCCGCCACGACAAAATAACTTGTGATGTGATATTAGGGTAGGTCTTACTAGAGTTTGCTTAATGTTTTCTATTTGTTTTGTCCCACTCTGTGCTAACGTTTGGGGTGTGCTGGCCGTAGTTAAATGAGCTTCGGAGACAGGTGATCCAGGACGATATAAAGCCGATCCAGCGCCGCACCTATCACACAGCATACCCTAAGGGTGCCCAGAAGTGCGACAAAAACCAAATAGCCTTCAAGGTAGCGTTCCTTGAATGCCGTTCGTCAGTCAAACTGACGAACTGAGCAATTGACGAATGCTTAAGTGTTGTCCACTGTCCAGATTATGCGTAGATTAGTTAGCCAGTGTTAGGATTTGTCTTCTCTCCCCTAAATATTTGAAATTAATTAGAAAGAAACAAATTTACTTTTGTGAGTGTTTTTGTGGTCGATGTGAATTAATTTATCGTTCTTTTTTAGTAAGATTTGTTAGTGGGTGTTTATTTATTTATTAATTATTAGGAATATTGGATAAGTTTTTTTTTATATAAGCATAGTAAGCCTTGTAGAAGAGAGGGGTACAGTTCTCAGAAGGGATAAGTATGGCTGAGGAACAGGTGTCTCATAAGGCTTCTGAGGCTGATGGGGCGTCGGCTCTGCAACCGCCGCGCCCGGCTGGGGGCTGGAGCGAACGCCAATGAATTTCCGGGGATTTCCAGAGAGACAGATCCCGGAAGAGGGTCACCTGGTAGACTTGGAGAAAGAATTGGCGCAACAAGATAAACCTGGAACCTGGAGTTCCAAAAAGCCCCGAAAGACTTAGTGCTCAAATCGGCAGCAAACGCGGCGATCGCTCAGGCCCACCAAACGTATCGGCATGCTCTGCCATCTGGCATCAGCGAGTCCATCCGCGAGGAGATGCGAGATGGCTTCATGGAAATGATGAAGGGCATCATTGATGTGATCAGGCCGCCAGGGAGCCACGCGGCCGCGACTAACACTGCGCCGAAGTCGCCGAGACATGTCGAACCGGGATCACGAACAGGCGCCATCCCGAAATAACGGGAAGTGTTCCAGCGCGAGGAATTTCCACCACCGGTGCCACCGAAGCCACATAGACAAGACGCACGAAGGGCTGAGTATTTATCCAGCAACCCAGTTTACGTTGCAGATGCTCAGTCGAGGAGCTGGCGTAACCCGAATAACCGCCATTTCCGAGCAGAGGTTCAGAGAGCGGATGATTTTCAACCGGAGGAGGCGTACGCCAACGTACGAGAAACGGCGTGCATGAAGCTCGAGCGGTGGAACGTCAAGTTTGACGGCGAGGACGCGATGAATTCGGTCGAGGACTTCGTGTTCCGCCTAGAATTGCTGCAGAGGCAGTATCAATGCCCGTGGAAGGAGGTTCTGCGCGGTTTCCACCTGCTCCTGACCGGCCGCGCACGCGAGTAGTATTGGATGCACGTCCGACATTCTAGGGTCGACAGCGGGATGCAACTGCGGCATGCCCTCTTAGACAGGTTCCTGGGCTACCAGACGTAACACGATGTGATGCAGAAGCTATTACAACGAGAACCGGGACCACGAACAGGCGCCATCCCGAAATAACGGGAAGTGTTCCAGCGCGAGGAATTTCCACCACCGGTGCCACCGAAGCCACATAGACAAGACGCACGGGGGGCTGAGTATTCATCCAGCAACCCAGTTTACGTTGCAGATGGTCAGTCGAGGAACTGGCGTAACCCGAATAACCGCCATTTCCGAACAGAGGTTCAGAGAGCGGATGATTTTCAACCGAAGGAGGCGTACGCCAACGTACGAGAATCGGCGTACATGAAGCTCGAGCGGTGGAACGTCAAGTTTGACGGCGAGGACGCGATGAATTCGGTCGAGGACTTCGTGTTCCGCCTAGAGTTGCTGCAGAGGCAGTATCAATGCCCGTGGAAGGAGGTCCTGCGCGGTTTCCACCTGCTCCTGACCGGCCGCGCCCGCGAGTGGTATTGGATGCACGTCCGACATTCTAGGGTCTACAGCGGGATGCAACTGCGACATGCCCTCTTGGACAGGTTCCTGGGCTACCAGACGTAACACGATGTGATGCAGAAGCTATTACATCGAGAGCAACACGCCAGCGAAGGGGTGGATGATTATATCCATCACATGCGTCAACTCGCCGCGCGATTCCAGAAGCCGCTGAGAGACCACTTGCTGGTGAAGATTATAAAGCGCGGCTTGAAAGAAAGTCTGGCGAAATATATCTATGCCATGGACGTACTCACCGTGGATAAGCTGCGCCAAGAGTGCCTAGAAGTGGAGAGGCACATGGGTCGCAGAAGCCGGACGGGGTACCTACCGCCGTCGCGTTGTCCACAAGGAACGAGACCCGTAGTCCACGAGGTTGAAGTACCACCACATCGTACAGAAACGCCGCCGGGAGAACTGGAGGAAGCATTCGTGCGAGGCAGGAACTCATCCCGACTTGTATGCTGGAACTGCACACAGTTCGATCACGTCTTTAGAGACTGCCTGTCCAAGGAGAGGAAAATATTCTGCCTATAGGTGTGGAAAGCCGGACACTTTCTGCTCCCAGTGAGAAAACTGTCCGGGAAACCCCAGAGGGAGCGCGGTGATTGCGGGACAGACGCGTTCCGGGACGGCGACCGCGGGGAAACAGGAGAGGGGTACCTACCAAGGCCAATAATCATTGGAAAGAAGACGGAGATTTGGGATTAGGATCAAGATAAGGCTAATTATAATAATAATATAAGCAAAGGAGGAACACTTAGGGGCTTACCACATGAAGAACGTGTTCGGGCATACATGTCGGCCCGAAATAGAATTTTTGGTGAGCGACAGCAGGAAGGCATGACACTAGCCACCCGGAGAGTGGTGAAGGCACGTGCGCGCTTCCGCAGGATTACCCGACGCCGGGTCGTCGAAGCGGTGAGACGGGAGGATAGTATAGACCCACGCGTATTCGCCGAAGTGGAAAGATGAAAGGGTTGCTGGACACGGGGGCCTCAGTCAGTCTGTTGGGACGAGGATGCCGGGAGTTAGTGGAGGAACTGGGATGGGAAGCGCGGCCATACGAATCGATGGTGAGGAAAGCGGCGGGTGCCAATCGCCCAATTTTGGGTCGCGTTGTGCTGCTGGGAATCGATTTCTGGGAATCGATTTCTGGCGAGCCTTCGAGATCGTACCAGAGCTGCTCGGTCCGGTCAGAAAGCCCGAAACACCCCCAGAGGCATCTGAGGTAACGGTAGCGAACCCAGAGGTGGCTTATTATCGGGACGACGACGACTTCGCGGCGGATCCGGAAATGTGGGACCTGGACAACGATCAGAGGAGTCAGTTAGAAAGCGTAAAGCGCAGATTTCTCCAATTTGAGAAGGATGGCCTAGGGAAACCTCACCTGCTGCAGCACCGAATTCAGCAGATCGAGGGAGCAGAGCCCGTGAAGGACAGACATTATCCGCTGTCTCCGGCCAAACAGGAGATCCGAGGTGGATAAAATGCTAAAGTTAGGCATAATCGAGGAGAGTGACAGCCCCTGGAGCAACCGGACGATGGTGGTGATGAGGCCTGGGAAGAACAGGTTTTGCTTAGACGCCAGGAAATTAAATAGTGTGACGGTAAAGGACGCTTACCTGCTTCCATGCATCGAGTGCATCCTATCGCGAATCGACGAGACTCATTTTATCTCTAGCGTCGATCTTAAGTTCACGCTCTGGCAAATCGAGATGGAGAAGAAGAGCAGGGCGTATACGGCGTTTACCGTACCAGGGAGGCCTCTGTACCAGTTCCGCTACATGCCATTCGGGCTCTGCAACGCCACTCAACAACTTTGCAGGCTCATGGACAAGGTAATCCCGACGAATCTGAGGTCCAACGTATTCGTATACCTAGACGATTTGCTGATAAAATCGGCAGATTTTCCAACGCACCTAAAATAGTTGGAATTGGTGGCCGAGTGTCTGAGGAACGCGAACCTCACCATAGGCATGGCGAAGTCAAAATTCCGCAACCTGAACTACTTGGGTTTCATCATAGGCGGCAGGACGCTGCACATGGATCCGGGAAGAGTAGAAGCGATCCGGAACTTCCCGAAGCCGAGAACGGTCAAGGAACTACGAAGCCTCTTAGGTACAGCGGGGTGGTATCGACGATTCACAAAGAACTTCGCCGAGATTTCGGTACCGTTGACTGATGCCCTTAAGAAGAGAACGGGTAGATTTGTGTTGAGTGACGAGGCCATAGATGCCATAAAAAGCTTGAAGTTAGCCCTCAGCACAGACCCGGTGTTAGTCCACGCGGATTTTCGAAGACCATTCTTCATCCAATGCGACGCATCTTACTACGGAGTAGGAGCCGCGTTGTTCCAGCTAGACGACGAGCAACAAGAAAGGCCGATCGCATTCTTCTCGACCAAACTCAACAAGCACCAGATCAACTATTTGGTGACCGAGAAAGAATCCCTAGCCGCCAAACTAGCCATAGATCGATTCAGACCATACGTGGATATAATGCCGTTCAAGGTAATCACCGATAATGCAAGCCTGCAGTGGCTTATGAGTCTCAAAGACTTGAGCGGGAGATTAGCCAGGTGGTTCCTAGAACTGCAAGCGTTCCCTTTCTTTATACAGTACCGCAAATGAGCCGACAACGTCGTCGCAGACACGTTGTCCCGAAGCGTAGAAGAGGTCGAACTGACCCTGGAGGATCTGTTGGGATTTCAGACCCCGGAGTTCGAGAGCACCGAATATCGAGAGCTGATAAAACAGGTGATGAGCCAATAAGGGAAGTTGCCGGATCTTAGAGTGCAGGACAGACTTCTGTTCTAGAGGACCGTGAACGACAGCTTGGAGGATGAGGTCGAAGGCACAAGTTGGAAGCTCTGGGTGCCGGAGTCGCTGACTGCAGGACTCATCCAACAACCACACGCGGACCAGACGACAGCATATGGAGGCATGAGGAAAACGCTGCATGCGCTGCGCAGGCGATATTATTGCCCCAACATGGCCATACAAGTGAGAGACTATGTATCTGCACAGCGCATACGAGCGAAGTTGCCAACGATACGACCACCGCGCGCGCCAGCTCCATCTGGAACCGGGACAGGAAGTGTGGAGGCGCAACTTCGCACTAAGCAGCTTCGGCAAAGCCTTCAATGCCAAGTTCGCCCGGAAATTCTTGAAGAGCCGAGTCGTCCGAGTTAGAAAATCTCCAGGGACGCGGGCGAATATAATCGTAATTTGCTCACCTCCCTGCCAGGCAATGGCGGCGGCAGCGGTTATCCTGCCTTTTTTCTTTTGGGTCAGTTCGAAAATATAGCTTACTTGTCGTGCGTGTGGCCTACGTTGGGCATCGTTATTTGCCGACTGGGTCAATCCATGAAATCCGCACGCAGATTCCTTGTAACGGTCATTCATTTCGTTACAAAAATCTGCGTGGTGATGTTGCATTTGACGGTATCGGCAGCACCGAGGGTTTACTTAGTTGGTTGCGTGCGATATTATCGGCCACGCCGATATCGTTTTGTCATATGGTCAGAGTATGCAGGGTGAAGCTGGGCCCACGGCGAAGCCCTTGGATATGCCCTTGGCCGTCATTTGGGCCGTTGACCCAAAAAAATGCAGCTGTGTGAATGGGCAGCAACGATGCCCGCCTCGCCAATGTATGCGTGTGCCGAAATTTGGCACCGATGATGTTGCTGCCTAAATGTACGAGGAGTTTGATTTGATCAGCGGTTAACGGCGGGCGTGCCAGCTCGAAGTGAGCATAAAATTTGCATATTGCATATCGACGTCATAATAAATAACCTAACAGAAAAATAAAAATTTTGGTTTTGTTTGTTCTGCAATTTAATAAATATACGTAAATTAAAACGCTCAAGTCACAAAATATAAAAAAAAAAAAAACTTAAAACTTAAGTGCGACGAGACGTACTAATAAAAAAATAAAAATTAACGGCTCCGGCAACAAAAAGACTAGCTCCCGCACCAGAGAAGCCCACGAAACATACCAACGGCCTGGATTCGGCTCAGCGGCGCACACCAGCCATATCCGCGACGCCGGACGCAGCCAAGCGTCGGCGCAATGCTTAATGCGACGAGACGAGCCTCCAACGACCGGGCATCAGCAACGAAGAAGCGGCCACAGGCGAGACCACGCCCACATTCTCCGAGTGAGTCCGTTCCATTGTACCCATCCTAGTTCGAGCCCTTGGCAGAGAAATGATGGAGACTCCTGATCGTACTCCCTGAAAAGGAGCTGATTTTTTTTTGTCATTAAAATTATTTTTTTTTTTTTGTATTTATAAATTATATCCATACATACATAAGCACTTACGCCGAGTTTCACTTTAGAGTACGAACGGTGATGGAAAATTTTCTAAGGTGATGCATCTGCACCTGTAAAATATAAAAATTTAAAATTGACACTTGCGCGAACTGTGCTCACATACTTACCTAATTGGAATTACCCATTTATATCGCCCCTTACCACCCCCAGAGAGCTCTTTAGATAGGGTAATCACCTATCTGTTGCACGACTGATTATCGTGACATACCCAGTTTTAAGAAGTTAAGTAGGCACATTGTTCCTAAATCGGCGTAAAGATTGCCTGTAAATCGTCTCCGTGCGTGTTTCTTTTGCGGCGACTAGCAATATCTTTGTAGTATTTCGTCGCCTGTTTCATTTAGTACTGTTAAAATAAAAAATGAATTCTAGAAGATAAGAGAAATACTTAGGAATTAATACACTTTGTCCATAAGTATACATATATGCAACATTAATACGCACCGGGGAAGAAATGTTCACGTGCATGAATACTAATTCATCTGAACGGAGACCTCGTGCAAATAAGAAAGAAATAAAAGAAATATTAATGCCAACAATTATAAGAATACACAAACCATTATTCGCACCTTTGAAGTTAACGAAATATCCACTTGCATGAGATTCTAAATAGCTGCAAAGTAAATGCCATAAGCGATGATTATAATGGTTATAAATTTTAAGAAAACGTAACCAATTATACGCACATATTGAAAGAAAGTATGTCCGGCTAAAGTAATATTGTTGGGGAGAGTGGGCATGATGGTCGACACGGGCTAATGTAGGCCATTTAGTGGCCAAAAAGTGGGAGACGAGTAGGTGATCGTCTCGTGGTTGGGCGGGTACGCTGGGTCCGGAACCGGGGACCGATTTGGAAGAATAAGGTGGATAAATAGTGTTTTTTGTTGATTTATATTGAGTGTCTCACCTTTGTTGCTTACATGTTCATAGTTGTTACAGCTGTTTATTTTGTTCATGAGTTAGAAGTTCCGATTGCTTGACGTTATCGATTTGTGGTTCGCTTTGCAAAGTGTTATGTAAGTCTGTTTTGCTACAGATGTGTAGCTTCGTTGTTATCGATTGTGCGGACTGCGCGCCAGTGATGGGATTACACCCAGAGAAACCGATAAGCCAGCCGGCGCGGCCCACCGAGAAACAAGAAGTTCCTTAGCATTATAAGTGTATAAAATTACCTCAATTTTCATGAGTCTGTTTTCTTCGTCATCGTCAGTATTTATTATACGCATTTTTTCATTAATTGTCGTTGTAGTCTTTCTATATCCGCTACACTATTTTTAATCGTTGTCATTTGAATTTAAACTTTTTCCTTATCAACAGTTCTTTTAGGGCTAGACTCATAAAAGCACTGTCCCTATCTATATTCAGAGCTGTAAGTTTTCCTATATTTTCAAATATTTTAATGAGTTCTCTTTTATTTTCCATCCAATCCTTGCTGTTAAGATCAATTACATATGAAAATTGAATGTAAATCGATACATGTTAAATAGCTGTGGTTTTTTATTGAATAAATGCCTACAGTTTTCTACTTCTGGTGTAATTTTAAATTTATAAGATGTGTTTCTGCGATCAATCTTAGGTAGATTGCAAACTTAACATTCGTTAATTATGTTTTGGTTTAAATTTTGATAGTGTGGGTAATAGTATATTTTTCTATAAAAAGTCCGACCATCTTTTCGATAAGTGCTTGTTGTATTAATTCCAAATTTGAGTCGTATTCAATGTATAATACGCTTGAATTGTTGCAAAAACGTTTTATCAGTATCTGTTTAGCTTTTTCAATGTTTAGGTTTAAGTACTCGATTTACATTCTTAATTTTTTTAAATATGGTTCAGTTTCTACCTTTTCGGCATCACTTCATTTCTATTTGTCTTCTAAAATAATTCAATGGTTTTTCTGTTAAATGTATTAAGTTTTCGTTATCTTCTTCAGCGCTATGTGTGTAGTTTGTGTGTTAATATCTTGTTTAGTTTTCTTTCTAAGTATTTGATTGAGATATTATAATCTTAAGTTTGATACGCCAACGATGCAATTTCATGTTGGGTTTTTTAAAAGTTTTTTAGCCAAACAAATGGCTTGAATCGCTTAAAATGCATTTTAAGCATTTTGTTCTTGTTGCTGTTATGTGGGATCCCCCAATGAGCTGGTGTGCTCAATGGTTCCTCCATCGAACTAAAGCAACTGTTTGGGCGCATCGTGATGTGACGCAAGCGGACTTGGGACAGTTTATGGCGATGTTCCAATTAGATGTCCAAGTTTCGATTAAGCTCCATAAGTCGACTTAGTTGTAGTCGCTCAAGGGCTTTGGAAACCGTCGGCAGGAAGCTTATTGGGTGGTAGTATTCCAGTTGAGTATGCGGCTTAGCGGGCTTGGCGATCATAAAATATTCGCGCATTACCACTGATTCGGGAAGTGACCAAGCTTGAGCATTGAATTGAAAATTAACGCGAGTGCCATGGTGCCTTTGGGTGGTAGCGTTTTGGCTTCTCTGTTGTTAATTTCGTCTCGTTCAGGGGTCTTCGTCAGCTCGAGCGCTTTCAGCTGTACTTCGATTTCCGCGGGAGCTATGCTCCTTATTGGGAGAGCCATGTGCAGTGGTGCATCAAGTGTTTGAGCCACTTTATGGCGCTGTGCAACACCTGCGAAATGGAAGGGCGTAAAAGTCGCTTCCAAGTGATCACCAAACGCATTGGCCTTTTTCTCGTCCGATAGGAGCCAGAGACCAGAACGATTCCTGATCGGGGGTATAAATTTGGTACCTTTTAGTGCTTCTGGTCAGTTTGCTGTTGCCGTCAAAAATGCTACCAAGGTTTTTCCTTCGGGTCGTAGCCAGCAGTCGTCGAAGCCGGTTGGACGTGCTGTCCATTTTCGCCCTGGCAGAGGGATCACCGTTTCGGATGTACAACCTTCTCAGACTCCTTTTGTTAGTGAGGAGACTAAACGTAAGAGGGCGAGGTGGAGTTGGCGGGGCTGCACGTCTGGCAACTTTGTTATTTTAGCTGTCTGGTGGTCGACGTAACTGTCCAATTCGCTTGACGTATTTATTGCTACGTTGATCTCTAAGGTGGCCTCGAAGCTGTTCCGGCAGACGTCCAAGTTAGAGCAAGGCGGGAGCATTTTGCGGATTCAAACGACCCACTTGGGTGTCTTCTCTAGCTCAAAGAGGAGTGGAAGGTGATCTGAGGTCAGATCCAGAACGCTTCTTATACTAAGCTCTTCCTGTGTACTTGGTTTTGCAGTAGCTCTATATGGGTGGCATGTTGCCTCTCCTGTGGCTATAGCTTTAATGCTTTCGGCCTCAATGGCAGAGAAGAGCGTTCTCCCTCGGGGGCACATCCGGTGGTTTCCCCACCAGCGATGTTTCGCATTCCAATCAACCCTGCCAGGAATTTTGGGCCGAGCTGCTGGAAAAGGGCTTGGAAGTGTGCTTCAGTCACTCTCAAGGCCGGAGGTCACTAAACAGAAGCAAGGTTGAAGTCGCCTCTGCCAGATCCGAGTCGGATAACAGCGGTTTGCATATGCCAGTGGCAGGACGACTCAAGTGGATGACAAAGACGACCTGACCCTCTATGTGGCCTGTTATTTGGATGGTTGGTGGTGTAGAGCAAAAAATAGTCCCCGTGAGGAGAGACACATCGATGTGGTGGAGCTCGATGACGGCTGCGATCTCGTTCGCTTTCGAAACGCATCCGTTGGCGTTCCACAGTGCTATCCTTAGTTTATTTTAGAGCCTGTTAGTTTTTGCGCATAATATTTAGCGTTTGAAGTAGCGTCTCTACAAGAGATATTTGTTTGTCGAGCCTGGCGAACATTTCCTCCAACCTAATCTCGAGGGCTGAGTTGGGGCTGTTGTCAGCGGCTGGATGGGATCGATTGGGAATGCTGCCTGTGGCTTGCATCTCTGCCATTTGCCTTGTGCTGGTTGGTTTGTTTGAATGCGTACTGCACGTACTTTTTGCAGCCCTTGAAGTTGGCCGCGTATGAGTCGACACAGTGGTGGCAACACCGATCATCATCCTTGCCAATCGAGCACTCGTTTGTGGGATGGTTATCCCCGCACTCCTTGCACACATAGTGTCTCTAGCAGAAGGACTTGGTGTGCCCGTATTCTTGGCATCTGATGCACTGAACTGGGCCTAACGTCTTGGGAGGCTTCTCACTTTGTGTCTACATATCACATTTATTGAATTTATTAGGCTGTTGTTGTCCGCTTTCTTCAGTTTAAGAAACCTTATATTCAGTGGCTCGTTGTTGACTCTGTTACACGAGGTGTATATGCGGACAATGTGGCGCCTCTTGTCTGCCAGTCGCGCTGAAATATCTTCAGATGGGTCGGTCCTCTGTAAGTTGGTGGTGATGAATCATGCAGCCGCTCTCGCGAAGGTGCCTTGCCACCTCTCTGTAATCGTCCGAGTTGCGGCATTGGATGATGCAGTCGCCAGAGGTGGAAGCTCTCAAGGTGTAGGTGTCTTCGCCTACGATGCTGTCTAATTCCTTGCAGAACGTGGTGAAGCTGACGGTGGCTGGCATAGTTACTCTGGGCACCTTAGGGGAAGGGCGCTCGTTAACAGGCTCCGTCTGGGTAGGTTGCAGGGGGTGGCGGGCTTCTGGTTTCACGTTTGTTGTCTTGTGGCCCTTGCGCTTGCTGTATATGAGGTGGATGGTCTACCATCTTCATCTACACCGTTATTGACGTTGTTATTGGAAGCAAGCACTACCTACATGTCCATGTGGCTTTCCTCTTCGTCACAAAGAACCGAAACCGGTTTCGGCTGACTTTTTTGGCTTCGGTGGTGCTCCCCTTCTTTCGAGATATGCTGGGTGTGAGAACACCACCTTCTCTTTTTTTAGTGGCGCCTTTTTTCGGCTTGAACGGGTCGCTTTGGTTTAGGTACCTGGGTCTTGCGGCAGTCTTGGGCGGATAATTTCTCAAGAGGGCGTGGAGGTCAGGGCTATGGAGAGACGGGGTAGGGCCGACGTTACCGTAGTTGTTCCAAAGTAACAGGCAGTCGTGGTGATGCATGATGTGGTGGGCTGCGTAGTACCCTGCACAGCGTATCGTTTGGCAGATGATCCATTTACGGTGGGTTATATATTGGAGACGTAGGACAAAGGTGGTTTAGGTTGTTTAACGCCATTGGCATTGATAATTAATTATTAAAGTTAATTATTTTTTATTAATATGATAAAATTACTGCCCTGCACTAAATTATAAAAATCACCAGTATTTTTGAAAAAAGTGACTTTAGTCATTAGGAGGAAAAACAGTGACTAAGTAGTATCAGCACCGTTACGGACAGTTGACTTGCCAGCACTGCCCGTACTTCTATTGGCTAGTGCTATGCTTGTGTTAGTGAGACTTGGCAAAAGCTCTCTCACGAAAGATCTACTCGCTCACACACACGCGCACGAGCATGGGGGATTAGCTGAGCGCAGTTGAGCTCAGCTGAAGCTTTCTGTCTTACGCTCGCACACGGTTGCACTTTTGTTAAATAAACAAGAATTTTCTGTTTTAAATATCTAATTTTGGCACAGAGGCAGCACTTTTGATTTGTGGCGCTCTACAGGCGAAATTTGTTTGCTAAGCCCTGGGGCGGGCTTAGCTAGTGTCACTGTCACATTAAATGTTTTTGCCTGTGATGCACTAAACACACATACACGGGAATGCACAAAAACACGACCGATCTGCGCGGAAGCTCAAGGCGAATTGTGAAAAATTACTTGCGTCGGTGGTTATCTAAACCTTCTTATTATAATCTGGGCATATTAATATTGGATCGTTCATAATTAATAATTTTAATTTTTCAATTGCCTTATTATATAATAATTCGTAGTATCGATTTTTGCTGCTACCTTTAAGTAAATGGTAATGGGTTTTGCAATTTTTGCAAAATCTGGAATGAACTTTCGATAATACCCACATATGCCTAGAAACAATTTAATTTCTTTTTATGTTTTTAGCAAAGCCAATTCTTTTATTGGTT